CCAACATTGTGTGTGCGGATTAATGGGCAAAGTGGAAAAAAAAAAAAAAAAAAAAAAGATCAACAACACACACAGAATAAGAAATTATACAAATGGGGAATGCACACGATTCTTTAAGCCAGGGAAATGCGTAGGGTTGTAAGGAAAGGTGTACGGACGGGCGTGCACATCCCATGGGCAACGAAGTGCTGCGGGAAATTCTTTCCCAGTTTGGCGCTTTCCCGCCGCTTCTCTGCATCTCTGTTTCACCTCAGAACAGGTCGCCCCGCTGCGAAAGGACCGAATTCCCGACCCTGTCCACTGGAAACATATGATGGACAGTCTTCAAATCAGCGTTGTTGGGGAATTGAAAGAAGGTTACGACGCAGGAGTTAATTTCTTTGCTCCTCTCCACCAAAACTAAGTGGGAAGCATTCCTAAAAATTATCATGTGGCAATTTATGAAAAATTTCGATGTGTTCTTGAAAACTTGAGTGCTACAGATGTTGTCTTTCTCTCCACAGAGAATCAAAACGGGTATATAATTGAGTCCGACTTCTTTGAATATGTCATGGGCGCTCCACATTTTTAAGTTGTTAATGCAGCCCAGTATTGAGTGCGTGATATTTTTTTTCACAAAAGCCTGCCACATGATTCGGTTGTAGAGGTAGTCGGACGTGTCGTTATCGGAGTCGTCCTCGGGGTCCTTCTTAAGCGATTTATCGGGCGCATCTTTAGAGGCATCCTTGGAAACGTTTCTGGAGTCACATTTGGGGTCACATTTGTTGCCACTTTTTGACCCCTTCATGGATGCACCTGCGGGCGCCCCCTTGGAGTCCCCCTTGGTGTCCCCCTTCGACGGGCGCTTAAAATTCTTCTTCGAAAAAAAACATGGAAACATAAAACAGGACGAAATGTTGATCAGGCAGGGGAACAACTTCAGAACCTTCAGGGCAAAGGGCTTTTTCTCCAAAACGCCAACAGGGGATATCAAAATAATTTTCTTCACCTGTTTTATGTACTTCTGTGCAAAGCTGATGGCAATTACGCATCCCATGGAAAAACCTATTAGATAAAAATCTTGATGTAGTAATTTCAGATGGGTCAGCAATTCCTCTGTCTGCGTTAAAAAAAAATTTATTCCGTAGGTTTTCTTTCGGTGATTATATTTGGGGCAGGCAGATAATCCATGCCCATACAGATCAAAGTTCAGAACCTGGAACTTATATTTGATTAGCGTTTTTTGTATGTCCAGGAAGGTTAAGTTTGTTCCGTTGAGTCCATGAAATGTTATAACGAGCGTCCCTTTTTTGTTTCCCTTCAAATCATAATTTATTATTCCGTACTTGCCAAAAAAGACTTTCCTGTACACGAAGGGGCACTTCATGTTTTTTTTTTTGAGGTACCTAGGCACTTTGTATACGACGTAATTGGTCTCCTCGGTGGATGCGTTAGCAGGGTGGTGCGTCGATGATTGCGTCGGTTGGTTGGCCTCTTGACGTGCCTCCTGACAAACATCTTCGCGCTGCGCTCTGCGTTTCATCCTGCCCATAATTCTATGCCTAAAGTTCCATTTCTTTTTCCTTGCGTTTTCTTCGCTCTTCTCTACCTGGTTGGCCTGTACACACGCGTGTTGCTCCACGCAGGAGGGCCATGCGGAGACGCTATTGTCATTTGACTTGTCCATTAGGACATGCGAGTGCATGTCTACATTTACAATTTTGTCACTCCGAGGATTGTACGCAAAGTAACTGTAGCTTCTGTGGTTGCGGATTCTGCGGATGGGGCTTCCACTCTTGCCACTTCCAACTTTGAGGCTTTTATCCCCTTCTCTGCACTTATCCGTGTTCACATCGCGCGCGTGCGTACCATCCATTGTTCTAATTATGCTTTTCAACGCAAGCAAATACTTTCTTTCCCCTTTCAGCAGGCATCCCTTTGGACGTATTTCCTCCGAACTGTTTTTCGATTCGTCTTTTGTGATCATTTGGTTCTTGTTTTCACCATCATCCGCTGGATTTGTCTCCTTTTTGTTGACTACGAGGAGGGGAAAACTATCGTTCTGTTTTCCCTCTCGTTCTTGCTTCTTTTTTTCTTCGTCTTCTGCGTCCCCCACAGTGATTCCTACATTTCCAGGGTCCTCTTCACATATCATTTTGGATAAAGCTGGTGATCTTTACATTTCATGGGTCACTCCGCCGCTTGCTTGAACATGAGAGTTCAATTTCTTTGTTAACGTTTTTGCTTTTCCCCGATATAATGATGTTTACTCTGCGCAGCTAAGGTTTGCCTTACGGGCTCAGGTCTACAGTACCACAATGGTTACATTCCCTCGCATAGACAGCTAGCCAAAAATCGACACCCCTCTTTCAACGTGCCCGTGAATTGCTTATTATGGACAGCAGATGGTATACCCAATTTTTACACGCTTCATGGATAAACGAAAAAGGGAGCTATATATACAGGGTGACGAAAGCATGAAGATAGGGACAAGCTACAAATTTGTGTGGGGGGGAAGATCAACCAAAATATTGGATGCCGCAGTTTTGCAAATTTTTTTTTTTTTTTTTTAGTGTTCCAAATTGACAGTCCCCACTCGTACGTTTGAAGTGTAAATTATGGGAGGTCCTCCTCGGCACGTAAAGTGGCCACCGTTGAGGCTAAATTGAGCTTTAGAGGAGGGGAAAGCACTTCAGTTATGTGCATAGCGAAATGGAACATGCCTGTTGTGTGCAAGGAGAAACAATGCAGTTGCGCTTCACACTGTTGGTGCGCATTTTTGCTATGTCCCTTTATAGGCAAACGAAAGATCAGTAAGTGTGTCTGCGAATTGTGTGAATTCAATTCGTTTTCACATTTTATAATGTAGAAAGAGGATGCGTGGGAAGGGAAAAAATAATCATTTTGTTGTCAGTGGTGTGGGAGTTGTGGAGGGCTGATCAAACCTTTAATTCGTGTGTTGCGGACGAAAAATGAGCAAAACCGGCGGCCGAGGAAATGAAAAAGCGGCCTTAAATTAAGTTGAAAAAATTGTGCAAATTGTGAGAACTTTGCTATGTTGGCAAAAAATTATAATGAGCAAATAATGCGAAGTAAACCAGTGGGCTTTTCGTGGACGACGTGTGAAAAAAAAAAAAAAGTTACAATGCAGGTTGCGTATATGTATACTCTGCACAGGGCTCACGCCGAGCCTGCAATAATTTACATGTGGCGCTTGACAAAAAAGGACGCAGAGTTTTCACGTAGGCTATATCCCCACATGACTAATCTCCCAACCGAGGCAGCTACAAAGTTTCACGCGCCACGAGGTTTTTCTGACAGTACTATGTGAGAGCTTTAATCGTACCTGCCAATGAAGTCCGTACGAACAGCAACTTCCACTCTGCCTCAAATCCACTTAAAACAAAACGAACCAACGTGATACAAGAGACCAGAAGTAAATCAGGCTAATGCGAAATAGGCATATTACATATATGCTTCTTTTACATTTCGGCGTTTACCGTAACACGTACAATTGTAAGTGAAGTGGGGGATGAAGAAGAGGAGGAGAGGATGTACTAGAGCGGAAAATACGGGCGAAGAACCAAGGGAGGTACACAAAATATATGAGGGTTTAATGTTGCAGATAGTATTTTTTTTTTATCCTTTTTGTAAGTTGTACATTTTCTATTGGTTCGCCGTGAAGTTGAAAAGCTTGCTACTCCTTTGGGAGTATACAGATAGGGGAAAATTTTAGTGCTGTCACAATTTTTTTTTTTTTTTTTTTTTTTTTTGTGGCGAATTTGAAGGTGTACAGAAAACTGTACGTGGAAAGGTATACATAGGCGCACATACACCAGAAGGGCACTTATATACACGTACAGAGGTGTTTATATAAATGTGTTAATGTGTAAATACGTTGTGGTACCTGTGAGTGGGGTGTGTGTACATGTCCCCGTTTTGGCGCATGTCATCTTTCTACTGCCTCAAACAGTAGCGCCTTCCGGCTTCACCACCCGCGCATCAAATTAGTGACAAAAAAGAAGAAACAAACGCGTAGCAACAAAATTGCTTCGAATGTTAAGTCACATGCGATTAAAGTTTCCATGCTTTACTTTTGTGTACACACAAGTTCTCATTCGTGATGACATGCATACAGATTTATTTGCATCCCGAGAACACACACACGCGTACATGTGCGGGCGCTGAAGTGCTACTCCAACTCGCATGACCGATTTCGAGAGGGGAAAAAAAAAAAAAAAAAATCTAAAATAAACGAGGCACATCGAAAGTGCAACCTTTTTAATTTGTCAATTTTGCGCAAGTCGAAATTTAGGGCACAAAACAAATGTAACTGTTTCGAAGGACTAGAAGAATTGTGTTGCGTTTGTGCCCACTTGGTGACACCTTGGTAGCAGCACTGCGCCAAAGTTGCGCGAAGGTTTGCGCCCCAATTAGAATGGTAGTTGCCCACTTACACAAAGAAACCCCTCACAGCGCGCATTGGCATCCATCAGAGAAAGCGTGACCCTCGATGGGCAATGAATGCAGGTGGCGACCATAATGGTAACAGGAAAAAATAATAAAAAGGACAAATAGTAGCAAAGATAGCAAGAGAGGAGAACACGTAAGAAGCAAGTGTGAAGCAAGTCAGAAGCAAAAGAGACGCAAGAGGGACGCAAACGTGATAGTATAGTATCACCAGACGCATAACCTATAAGCTTTCAAAACGGGGAATCATGACGAGTCTAAATAACGTCGAAGACGAAGAAGACAAAAGTGTTGTAAATGCAGAGATGGATTCGCCAAAAGGGAAAGGGCAATTGGCAGTGAGCACCACTTATCACAATTCGGATAAAGATGGAGAAGAAAAGGGACAATCTGTTACTGAAACTGGAAACGCAAAAAATGGTACGCACAGTGTATGCACACCTGCCGCGGCCACGGCAATCGCAGGCGCTAGCTTTGATAAGAAGAGAAAAGCAGAAGCAGTTGAAGAACCGTACCAAATGGACAGGACCCTTGACGGTATGAACAGTGTCCCCCATGTTGATAAAATGGACTCGATGGAGAAGTCAACTATTGGTTGCATGAACAAGCATGCGAAATTAGGGGACGGAGGCGTCAGTTGTGCCGATCCTATCGAGAATGGCAGCACGGCGGGCGATAAGCTCAATGTGGACACGTACATGCATGCACATACTCATGCACACACGCGTGTGGACAAGGGCACCATCAATACAGAATTCGAAAGTGATGACACTGCACAGGGGAAAACGACCACTGGGGATGCTAAAGAGCAACACAGAGGAATCGAAGCAGGAAAGAGTAGCCAACGCGAACTAGCACAAAGTAACGCAAGTAAGGAGGAAAAGGCGAAAGACAAACCGAATGAACAGACGAGGATGAAGAACGAAACAAAAGAAATACAAGCACAACCAGAAGCGAATAACAAGAAAAAGGAAAGCTACAAATATTTTATTGATTATAGCAAATACAGAGGCAAAAATAATGTGACTTTTTCGACCAAGTATAAAGACAGCAGTGTGAATTTAAGCAGCGATAAGCTCACCTGTTATGGACACAAGGGATGGTCCAGTGTTTTCGTGAATAATGGGGCGGACATCGGAAAATGGTACTACGAAATAAAAATTGAAGAACCTGTGCAAAACTTCCAGTTCTTAGGTTACAAGGACAAAGTGATAAAGGTAAACCCATATATACGTGTTGGTTTCGCTTGCAGATACATGAGGTATGATTATCCCATAGGAACAGACAAATATAGCTACTGCGTAAATAGCAAAAATGGAAGAATTTTTAACAACTCCATAAGCTACGACTGCATGGAACCAATTAAAGTAGGTGATATCATTGGGTGCTACTTAAATTTAAAGAACAAAAATACGTATAACTTCGATCCAAGGTTAGATAAAAAATTGTATGAATATTTGCAAAATGGTATTCTATGTGATCCAAAAGATCCACCCATATTACAGAAAAACTACGGTTCGTCTATTTTTTTCTCTCTAAATGGGCAAATAAAGAAAAACGCTTTTGCTGATATTTATGAAGGATTTTATCATCCGTCTGTGAGTTTGTACATGGGTGCTTCAGCAAAAATTAATTTGGGTCCTCATTTTGCGTATAACCATTTGAATGATTACATGCCATGTGTGTTTATGGAGCCACCGATTATTCTGTGAAGAGTAGGGGATTGGAAGCAAGAAAAAAAAAAAAAAAAAGAAGTGTGCAAACGGAGCGTTAAAAAGTATGATCCGTTCATATTTTTCTAGAAAAAAAAATTGCAAACAATGGCTAGTTGTTTGAAAAAATATGACCCGTTCATATATTTTTAACAGAAATGTGTGCAAACTAAGTACACAATCTGAATTGTTCTTTTTTAAGCCCGAGGGGGCACGTTTTTGTGAGCTGCTCTGCATTTTTGATAAGCGCCCGTCTGGGGGGGATTTGTCCTTTTTGGCGCGTCGCGAGTTGTTTCACGTTCGTCGCCATTTTTGCCGTTTTAGTTGCTTATTTGCGTTCTCATTTTGGCCATCATTTCGTCGTCGTTTTCGTTTCATTTGCGCCCCCTTTGCGCCTTTCCATGCGGAAGCACACGCTCATGTGCCGCATTTTTTTTGTAACTTTGTTTTAGTATCGTCTTAAATGAAGTAACATAAGTTATTTTCGCGCGATAGGATTCGCACATGCCGCCTTCGTCGATCTACATGTATCAGTTAATGAAAAACCTTAATCAATTTTAAGTGAGGAATTTCCTTCCATCCGTGGAGGGGTGGTTCGTCTAAGGGTGTTAATTAAGTATCGTTTTAAGGGGGAGTTTTTTAAAAAAAGTGGACAATTAACAAATGGTCGCACAAAAAAAGTGAGAAGGGGGAAGACACTAAAAATGTATCAACAAAACAGAATGAAATGGAATAAAATAATTTACTAAAATAACAAAATAATTAATCAGTGTGGACACGGATTGGAGTAGGAAAAATCCAATTTCGTTGTCTGAAAAATGGTGTAGTGCAAGATGACATATAGGAACTGCAAAAAGCCGAAGATTGGCCAGTACTCATTGATGAAGTAAATTTCTGTAAATTCCGAAATCTGAAAATTGAGGAGGGAGATGAGGGCAGGGGAAGGGATTTACGAGTTGGTCTTTTGACGAGGGGGTGCTCGCTTTTGTGGCGTAAAAGTTTACACACGTAATGGTGCACTTGTGCACAATTTTATAAAATGGCTTCCTTTTTTTGTAGGCCTAACTTGGTATAGCATAAAGTCGGACAGCCTCTTCTCGCCGGACGTCCGTATTAAAATGTTCGGAGGGGGTAGGTCGCTGGTGAGGAGCTTCTTATGATAATTGACTCTGTGGGGTGGGAGTAATGAATTCGGAATGGTGGGAAAATATAACATGCAAGTTAACGGTAGGGATTGCCCAATGCACACATGTCCCCTCAGCTGCGGCCTCATTAGGGGAAAGGCAAATGTATAGCAGTATCATTTACGTTATCATTATATATTTTCCTCTTATTTTTAAGATACATTTTGATTTGTTCCCGATTTAGGAAAGAACGTCCTCCACATATACAGTCCACCTCGAACAACCTATAGGGGTCATTCTTTTCACTCTTCAGTATGCTCTCTAAATAATAACATTTGTCTGGGTCGTCCTGCTTTGTTAATGTAGAGGAGGGAGTGCACAGTAGTTCCCGCTCCTGCAGCAGGCTCTTATAAGTGTTGAAGTACAAATTGGGATTGAATTTGCACAGACTCATTTCGTTTCTACTGGTGTAGGAAAAGAAGATGTTCAAGAGAAGGCTACGGATGGAGAAGGGGAGGAAATGAATGATTCACACGCAAGGATGCTCATAAGTGCACCTGCAATGGTTCCAACGATAGTGAAGTGCTTGTGCAAAAGTTCACTAACAAGTCATACAAAAGTGTGTAAAAAAAAAAAAATATATTTTTATCATCCCAAACAGGATCGTCTTTTACGTAGTTTTTACTTGTCAAATTGTTCCGTCTTCTGTTCAATGTCTTGTATAATTTTTCTGTAAACTTCGTTTACGTAAGAAAGGTTCCCAATCACTTTAACTCTAATTTTGTTGTCCTTTACGAAATTCCTGATGGGGAGGTTAAACCGTTTTTTGCGTTTGGAATATTTACGTGGGACTAACTTTTGGTAAAGCCCGTCCTCCATGTGCATTCGCATTAGCATGTCGAACCTCGAACAATGCACTTACATGAAAAATTCCTCGTTAATCAAAATGAGGAGATTTAGATAAAAGAGGAAATGTATCTCCTCCGGGCTTCTATTATAATTCAACAGGGAAAACGAAAAGACGGATAGCACTTTTATGTTCAACCTAACGCATATTTCTATGATCTGGGTGAGAAGAAGGGTGGGACGTGATGTGGTAGAAAGGTTAAGCGGTTTTGCCCAATTGGTGCTTAGGGTAAGTGGTAATAAGGGCACCTTGCATTGGGTGCCTATGCGTATAGGAAAATTGTTACGCTTAGGTGTGCTAACTTGTATGAGCGCTTTCGATCCCATATAGTGCCCCAGAGACGAGTGGATTCCATTTTCCTTTGCGAATCGCCTGTTGCCATCCATGATTATGGCTTATGAGGGGTGAGGGGTAAGTTGGGTGTGTAACATATGATGGGTGTACACGTTGGGGTAGGATGGTACATATGCATGTGAAGGGTGCATGCTGTCAGACACACTCGCGGGTAATTTGCACCCGAATGAAAGTTGGCTAATCTGTTTGCCTTTTTTCCTTTTACATATATGCTTGATGTTGATGAGACCCCGCAAGAGCCAAGTGATTAATCTTTGCAATCTGTAAGATGGGGTAAAAATTGCAGGTGCGTCATTTTCTGTGTTTCTATGGGGTGATACACCCACCTCGCCGCGTTCTCTACTAGCACACTATTATTCTTATTCTTCTTATTATTATTATCATCGTTATTTTATTTTTTTATTTCTTTTCCACCTTGAGGTGTGCAGTACATGTTCAGTGCCATCTTCTAACAGACCAAGTCAATCCCTCCTAGTGCATCACGCACTGCAAAAAAATGAAAAGAAAAAGGAAACTCCCATGAGTGTATCAAACTTATTCTAATGATAACTTCTCTTGCGATGGGAACAAATGGCTACTCCCATTAGGTAATGCTCAACATAAAAAAAAAAAAAAAAAAAAAACGATCTGTTGGATAAACAAACAGGGGTGCATTTTACTGGTAGCATTTTCCTGATAGGCAAGGCATAAAAAAAAAAAAAAAAAAAAAAGGCTAGTAAATGCGTCCAGTTGCTCTGCACGGGGTGACGAAGGAAACATTGATCACCGCGTACATGCTCATTATGGGCCGCTTTCCGTGCCGAAGTAGTACGAAACGCTAACTGACCCCCTACCCCCCCACACATGCAGAACGTCTTTATATTATGTGCTGGAGGAAGAATGAGACATAAGCCTCTATCATTTTTGGTGTGACATTACTGGGGTAGTCATTCGAAAAAGAAAAATAAAATATATTTTTTTGAATGTACCAGTTGCAGAAGTTAGCTGTCAGGACGGACAATTATCACTTTGGTTTTTGTTTCACTTTATTTGTTAGGATACCAAATTAGGTGTCATTATAAGTTTAGTGGTGTGATACAGAGTGCGACGCAGCGAGGGGAACTGCACTGCCAAAATTGGCTAATTCGCATAGTGCACGTGAAAGTATATCCTTTGCCTCCCTCGGGCGAAGTTCAAGTCTCGATGTGTATAACAATGGGGACAAGTGGAGGAAGAATGGTATACACTAGGTGAAGAAGAACTGATCACCGGAGAGTCTATGCGTTTGGTCCTTCCCCATTACCACGGCTTGTTTATGTACCGCGGTGTGGCAGCCTCACCATGGGAAGGGTGCCCTTTCTAATAGTCCTTTTTGGGCATATGGCACGAAGACAGGTACGCAAAGGAGAACCAAAAAGGAATAACTTCTACGTACCATGGTTCAGACGGAGAGAAAACAAACAAAACATCTTAGAGAGCATGTCCTTACTAGCAAGACACCAATAAATCTACAAAGGAGACGGCCACTTTATTTTTCTTTTTACCCATCCATGGTTAAGGTAGTGTCGTAAATTTTCCGTGTTCGCTTAAGGGCAGCTACACAGGCGTATGTACACGTGCGTGTACCCCTGCATAAGGACGCGTCGTCCTGATGAACAGCATTCTAGGCGTACCTTTTCACCCCTACACGTGTCGCTGCCTACCCAGTGTGACACCTAAGAAGGACAAAAATTGATAACCTCGTAAAAAAAAAAAAAGCAACTCTTCATGCAATCCCTGTGCACACCCACTCGCCATCTGTTTCGTTTTGTAAAAATTTCTCTGCGTGTAGAATCTCGCAAAAGGTATTTTGCTTTGATGGTATGTTTCTTTACGTTAGGTTGTTTTGTATGCACTTGAGGCATTTAAACGGATCTTTAAGTGGGGGTTATTCAGCCACGAAGCAAATTGCCAGGGGAAAACAAAAAAAAAAAAAAAAAATGGCCATGCCCTTTGGTACATGATAAGCGAAAGGTGGGAAAAAAAAAACAGAAAAAAAAAAAAGGATCCCCCAGGTGCGCTTAAAACTGGGACTGATTTAAACAGGGGCAGAAAAATATGGAGCCGATAAAAATAGGGCACAAAACAGAGCCACCCAAATGGGTAATAAAAATATGCCGCCATGTACACGTCACCAAAATAAAAAAAAAAGTGGACGAACGAACGAACGGACGCGAAATTGAATCCGGACGAGGGCGGCGAAAAAAAAAAAAAATAAATAAATAATAAAGTACCAAACTGGCGAGTCAGGAAAGGAAAAAAAAAAAAAAAAAAAAAAAAAAAAAAAA